TTTTTTTTTTTTATTTTTTTTTTGGCATTTTTTTTTTACTATTTTTAATGGTCAATCTGATGGATCTTGACAATAGGGGTTCTCCGATTTCAAACGGGGAATTTTTTACGATTTCCAATAGGTAAAGAGTTTATCGCTCATAGAAACGTTTCCAGGGTGTCTTCTGCTATTAATCCTACCATTTCTATGTCGATTACATTCATACAATAGTTTTAACAACCCCTCTCAAATTTACCTCAGTATTAAGTGTCCTAACTAAAAATCAAAATTTTAATAGATTTCAATAACAGTTAATGAAATATGTGATTAAAGATTTTTGAGTTTATAAAATATGCAACTAAAATTAATTTTTTATTTTGACTTAAATTTTTATCAAGATTAAAATTCACAGAAAACCAGTTTTCCCTTTTAATAGTTACATTCATGGTAAAATAAAATTGAGAAAAAGAATGGATAATCCCCTTTTCTCCTCAATTCACGGAGACAAAATGTAGGGCTAATGCAACAATTCATCATAGAAGAAAGTCATCATCTTATCAATTAAGTCAAAATAAAAGCGTTTAGAAACTGGAAAAAATGAACCGTACTTGTGCATCATACGAAAATATATTCATAAAGAATTAACCACACATTTTTCAAAAAATTACCATTTCAAAACATATTTTCCCGAAAATGAAGTGAGAATGCTATTCATAGTAAAAACTACTGGTAGTTGTCCTACGTGACATACACATAACAATCTGTTATTTGATACACTTTTAAAAAATGTTTTCAAGTTGTCACTGAAATTTAACATGTTGTATTTCATCACCATTAGCTATTGAATTTGTATTTCCGTCAGCCTTTACCCACTAAACTTTAAAATGAAACATGATGGGTGTGTGATAAAGTGAAGCTTGTTAAAGTTTAGTGACCATTTTGAGATATTTTAAAGTTCAGTGAGTAAACGTAACGAATGCATGAGTGATTAATGAAACATTTAATCTATGTCTATATCGATTAATATGACTAAAGAAAATGTGGCATTTCATTGCAATCTTGTTATTTACCAATCAAACTATGACGTGATTTAGGGATGGTAGTGTTGTGGGATCGTAAAGACGAATGGTCGAATTAGGATTAAACCCTTGTTTGATGGCGATTATTTTCAAAAAACAATTTTTGAATTGTGATTTTTTAGAAAATATGTGATTAAAAAATAGGAAATTTTTTTTGATTTACATGTAAAATATTTTATTATGTAAATATATTATTAAAAAATGAGTGATAATTCAATAATTTTATTTTGAAGAGTGACAAATAGGGGCTAAATCAGGACGAAGGAAACAACAATTTCTCGGTAGTCGGGACAGCAGCACCTGTACGGTGTTTCCCCCATTTTTTTCTTTTCTTTTTTTTTTTGGTCAAAGATCAATGAAAAATGGTGAAGTGGAAGCCTGTACACCTAGCATTGCTGGAGATTATAAAAATTAAAAAATAATTAAACATTATAAAAAAGTATTTACATATTTCTGAAATATAGACAATTCCTTTCAATTTCCCCACCATTTTCAGTTTTCTGTCGTCGTCGTCAATCATCTCTCTTCCTTTTTTCCCTCAAAACCCAAAAAAATAAATATCTTAAATCTTTTTCGGCTTAAAACCTTTAATTTTCTATGGAACCGCCGGAAGTAAACGCCACAACTGAGTCGCCGGAGAAGATAATTCTCCGCTGGGACTCTATGGCGGCGGAGGAAGCCCGTGAAAAAATGATCTTTGATAGCGACCGTCACGAGATCGACCTATACCTCCACGCCGTGGACGAGCTGCAGAAGTCCATGAACTCTACCACCCTCTCTGATTCGAACTCCTCCGCCCTTCATATGGCCATGGCTCGGCTTGAAGACGAGTTTCGCAACATCCTTATTTCACATACTTATCCTATTGAAACTGAATCATTCTCCGAGTTCAGTAATTCGTCCACGCATCATTCTATAGGTTCTACTTCGGATAGCAGTGAGTTGATTAGCTCGAACTCGGAGGAAGTAGAATTTAAGTACGATATTGAAGGAAGCCTGGTCAAACAATTGGAGCATCTAGAGAGCAATAGCAGCAGTACAAGCTCTTGTTACAAGTCTACGAGTAGTATTCGGGAGGTGGATCTCGTACCTAATGAAGCAATCTACGATCTACGGTGTATAGCGGAGCGTATGATTGCTGCCGGGTACTTGATGGAGTGTATTCAGGTGTATGGCAGCGTAAGGAAGTCAGTGGTGGACGCGAACTTCAAGAAGCTGGGGATCGAGGATATTCAGAGGCTCGAGTGGGCGATTCTGGAGACGAAGATCCGGAAGTGGATTCGAGCTTCGAAAATCTGTGTTCGGGTTCTTTTCGCGAGTGAGAAGATGCTGTGCAAGCAAATATTTGAAGGTTTGTGTACTTCTACTGATGATGCTTGTTTTATGGAGACCATTAAAGGTCCTGCAGTTCAATTGTTTACTTTTGCAGAAGCAATTAGTAATACTAAAAGATCGCCTGAGAAATTGTTTAAGATGTTGGATCTTTATGATGCTTTATCTGATTTATTGCCTGATATTGAGGCTGTTTTTGAGTCGAAATCTACTGAATCTATTAGGGTCGAGGCGGCAGAGATATTGTCTAGGTTGGCCGAGGCCTCGAGAAGGATACTGTTGGAATTTGAGAATAGAATTCTTCAGGAACCATCAAGAGGTCAGGTTCCAGGAGGGACTCTTCATCCCTTGACTAGATATGTAATGAATTATATTAGTTTGATACCGGATTATAAGCAAACTTTGCATGAATTGATTGTATCGAAGCCCTTGACCGGGTGGAGATACTCGGATGATCTGAATATGCCAGATATGGATTTCTTGGAGTTCGAGGGAGAGATAACCCCATTATCTCTTCATTTGATTTGGATAATTGTGATTTTGCAGTTTAATTTGGAGGACAAATCTAAGCATTATAAGGATGCATCCTTGTCACATTTGTTTATCATGAATAATGTGCATTATATTGTTCAAAAGATAAAAGGGTCACCTGAGTTGAGGGAGATGATTGGGGATGAATATTTGAAAAAGTTAACAGGGAAATATCGGCTGGCTGCAACTAGTTACCAGCGATCGACCTTGGTGAATGTATTGTATTGCTTGAGAGATGAAGGATTGCATGTGAGAGGGAGTTCTTCATCTGGTGTGTCCAAGAGTGCTTTGAGAGAAAGGTTTAAGGCTTTCAATGCTATGTTTGAGGAGGTTCACAAGACCCAAGCAACTTGGTTGGTACCCAACCCTCAGCTGCGTGAGGAGCTTAGGATTTCCATATCCGATAAGGTTATTCCGGCTTATAGATCTTTTCTTGGACGGTACAAAAGCCATGTTGAGAGTGGAAGGCACCCAGAGATTTACATCAAGTACTCGGTTGAGGACCTTGAGAATGCAGTCTTGGATTTCTTTGACAGACACCCGGTGTCCCTTCAACAAAAGAGGAGATCTCAGTAAGCGGAATGGAATTAAGTTTTTCCCCTTAACAGTGTAGGATATCATTCTTTGAATTCTTTGTGAAGCGTTTGGGACGAGGTTCTGGTTTCTCCAATATTTGTTCAGGTTGTGATTCCTTTAAGAAAGCATCATATAAAATTTTAAGAACGCTGAAATTGAATATCAATCAACTGTATAATCAATTCCAACTCTTTGGGGTAGCCATTGCCTCTCTTCCTGAATGCTTCTGCCTATAAGCATGTTTTGTTTGTACTTTCCCAGGTTAGATTTTGTTTCATTTGTTTATATGAGTATTGTTCTATTTGTATTTGTTACATATTAAATTTTCACAGTCAAATATTTTTGTCGGAAAAGAATAGAATTTAGATAAGTATTGACGATTTTAACTAACCCCAGCCAGAACAGTTGTGCGTGGAAATGTCTGATCTGAAGAAACTAGTAAGTATCTTCTGTGGTTCCATTGATCTGCTGTTCTTTTTTGTTTTTACCTCCGTAAGTTCATTAAAGGAGAAAACAATAAATGCAATCAGTATGCTTTTAGAATTAACGAAATTGTCCTTACTATTACTTCATAAACATTTCCGCTATCAGATGGTACTGGCCCTCTAATTGCTTCCTTGGGTGTTCTCTTATAGTTTCTTAAATTTACTTCATCAGTGGGTTATGGTACTTCAATAGGTTGTTAGGACTTTCTTATCAGGGTGTAAATTCTGCAAGAAAAATCAGTTAGTGTTATGCTCTTTCTTTATTCTTGCGCATTCTACCGTGCTTGAAATATGTATATCTTCGCATCAAAAAATAATTCTCTCTGGTGTTGCTTTCGTGAAGATAGAACGATAGAGCTAATTTGACATAGCTATACATTTGGAACCTGGACCGCTCAATTTGTAGAGCTAATATGTAGTCTTCCCCTGTCGTCCTGCTTAAATGGGACTCCTATTTCTGAGTTTGGATTTTTCAACCTTCTTTTATTGTGTCCTCCTCTTAGATGTGGTCCTTGATGTCGTTATGTCCCTATGCAAGATGACTCTTGGGAGAAAACGACTTCGAGGTTTCTTGCAGACTGTTCTTTCCGCATTAAGTACATTATAAGTCTGTGCAGCTTAGAATTAGAAAGCGACTACTTGCAGCGATTTCTTGGAAATTTTGTACTGAATTGCTGAAATGAGGGAGTGGTTTTTGAAAAGCATTACAATAATATAATACTATTTTCTGGTTGAAGCACTGGTCATATGGCCTAATACCCAAAAATTGACCTCTTAGAATAATGAATTTTCTCTGTGAAAGCAAAAGACTAGTCTAAAGTCAAATAGAATTGGGCATAGTTTTTGATAATTTTAACAGTACTACAATTTATTTTAATAATAGTTTACTTATCATTTTTCAATAGGTAATAAATACTAAAAAAATTTCTCATGTATTAATTTCGTGTTATTAATTTTCAATTAATTAACATTCATTTTAATCTAGATTCAATGAATCTTGATTTGATGAATCTTGAACTACATGAATATAAAGTTATTATAAATAAATTTATTTCTATTTATGTATCTAGAGATTTTAATGGGTATTTAAATTCGTCTATTAACAATTAATTCTTATGTACCAAATGTAGTATAAAAGGGTTATTTATTTGTATTTTTTAATAATCACAAAAAATTTTAATCATAGAAGTTGAATTTTGAGAGTATGATTTTCTTCTCTTAAATTCATATCCTAAATTTTATTTATTTTTTGTTCGTTTGAGACTCATCAAAACCTTTCAACAAATTGATATTAAATATTACTTTTACAATACAATAATGTGTAATGTATTTCAATTTTTACCAGTTTATTCAAAAACTCACTAATATTTTTAACAAAAAACATCTTCATTTTACCGCTTTTTGATATTGAGCATAACTCGAATAAGAATTGGAGCCACTGAGGGGCAACTCCAACCCTTGCACTAAAACACCATTTTTTTTCCTATTTTGCACCAAATATGTCACTCCAACCCAACACCAATCTTGCACCACTTTGGTTTAAAATGGTGCAGTTATGCACCATATTTGGCTAAAGTCCTTTTTGCCCTTTTTTCATTTAGCACCAAATGTTGTTAAGGGTATTTACGTCATTTTATATTATACGAATATTTTGCAATTTTGCACCATATTTGGCTAAAGTCCTTTTCGCCCTTTATTTTATTTAGCACCAAATGTTGTTTTAAGGGTATTTGTGTGATTTTATATTATACATAAATTTTAATTCTTGCCTAATTATTATTATTATTTTTTATTGCTACTACTACTAAAGTCATTTTTGCCCTTTTTTTCATTTAGCACCAAATGTTGTTAAGGGTATTTGTGTCATTTTATATTATATGTAAATTTTAATTCTTAACTTATTATTATTATTATTATTATTATTATTATTATTATTATTATTATTATTATTATTTGTAACAAACTTTAATCATGTAATCAGTAATAATCGAAGAATGAATTGAACTTTAATCATACCACTTTTGTTAAATTTATTAACAAATTTAATATTTTTGTTAACGAAGTGTAATTAATTATGTAATATTTTATGTAGTAGAAAATAAATGATTTTTCAGATATAAATTGTTAAGAATAAAAAGTGAAGAAAATGATTAAACATTGTAATATATAAATTAATAATTCCGCGCGCGCGCCCATATTTTCAATGTCGGGATCCATAGTCGAACTATTATCTTGAACTTTATCATCTTGATTATTTTTAATTATCTGCTTGTCAATTAACACCTTTGAAGTATTGTTATTTTCTCCATGAAAATTCAAGAGGACATCAACATCCATTCCTTTACGTAATTTCAGCTTTTAATCACATTTTGCAGTTCTTGAATGCTTCCATCATCTAACGGTTCATCCAATGTCTCTAAAACCAACGTTATCCATAGCCCGAATTTTACAACATTGAAAGTAATTTGCAATTGTACATGTTTGAACATCTAATGTCAAAAGTCAGAAATGCAATATTTATTTTTTTTAGATCCGGTTCCCCTGCTTTATAACCCTCCAAAAGAGTACAATATAATTGACGGTGATAATGCATTTTGAAAGCTCGTATGATCCTCGCATCGCAAGGCTAAATCTTTGATGTTGGGTATGGTTGTAAGAAAAATAGTTCAACGTTACGAAATCCTTCAAAAGTTTTGAGAAATGCTACATTTACAACATTTTTCACATACATTTTGACAGCCTTCTCACATGGGGGGTGAGACCCACCAACGCGGGCCCCACACTCATGTGAGAGGGCTGTCAAACTTACTGTATAAAAAGGCTGTACATTCAGCCTTTTTCAAAAGTTTTTTTTGATGAGCAAGACAATTATTGACAAGCAAGAAAACTTTTTTACCAATCATTTATCGAAACGTCAAACATATTTTTCGAATAACAACCATCCATGCTCGTTTGTTGACATGATACTCACAATTCATATCGTTGAAGTTAGAAATACAGCTAGTTAGCATACTCCATAATAATCCGGATTTTTCTCCAAACCATCCTCCTTACAATAAATAACAATTGTAAGTCTTTTCTTGTCTCCTTTTTCTTTGAAGTTGTTTTGTTACTTGATAAAGTAATAAGTTATTAGCCTCTATTCGGGTATCAATAGACAGAAATGGGTGATTGATAAATAGATAGTACTTATGAGTCTGTTGATAAAGTAATAAGTTGTTGGCCTCTATTCATGTATCAAGAAATGAGTTGTTGATAAATGAATAGTACTTATGCATCCGTTGAAATGTTTGATTAAAAATGAAGTTTGATCATTTAAAAATTTTGTTAAACGAAAAACTTAATTATTTGATAAATTAATAATATTTTCTTGATCCCAAAACTATTATAATTTATTAAGGTTCAATTGATTCTTAATGCCCACCCATAATTCTAGGCTTGATGGGTGATAAAATTGCATCTTCTATTGAGAATTAGTTGTGTCATCATTTATCACCTTCTATTCCAAAATTGCCCAATAAGTCCACTTTTTGCTTTTGAGAATCATGAAAATCATCCCAAAAGAAAATAGTAATAAATAAAGGTTTTGTAAATTAGGAGAATGGTCATCAAAGCCATTTAAAATAGAAGGTGGCCAAGAATATCAAGATAGAAGCGTTGGGACTGTTGCCATAAAATTTTGCACTACTTTCTTCTCCAACTTCTTTTACAGCATCTGTCCGATAAAGTTTGCTGAACAAATCATGAGCTACTTATCCACTGATTATATCCCTGCCGATACTACAACCCCGCCCGTTTGAGCCGGAAAGTGGACCGGCTATTTGAGTTGCTAAAGGGCCAAAATACTTTCCCACCAATTTAAAAAGAAAATAAAGAAAATTGGTGAATCAAATTTGATGCAATCCGTGCATCGTTTTTTTGAATTGACGGATTACTAGAAATAATATTGAGCCTAATTCAACCTAACAAAATCGACTTGTTAGAGGAGAATTGCCCACACCTTATTAATTGGATCGTGTAAATATTACAAGTCAATGTAGGACTCTAATACGCCCCCTCACGCACAACGTGGACCATGCCAAACAACTGTGAACAAATCGATGTTGGGTGCATCCAACATTGCAAAAACCATGTATGCTCTGATACAATATTAGAAGGATATTGATCATAACTCAACCTAACAAAATCGACTTGTTGGAGATGATTACCCCCACCTTATTAAGTGGATCGTGTAAATATCAGGAGTCAATATGGAACTCTAATACAAATAAGTGAGAAACCACGAGAGATTACTTGGTTATACATAAAAATATAGACCAAATATTAAGCTCATAAGCGAAAAATCTGGATGGATGTCATTGCCATAAATATCGATCAACAGATATATAGAGGCAAGGCATATGAGACCAAATAATAAAAAATACAGAAATAACCGGCTGTTTGTATTCCCTGAATTGCTCTTTCCTTTTCACTCTTCGTAATCTCTACTAGATATTGTGAGCCTGAGCCTGTTTTTACGAATACAGTAACGACATAAAGACGTGTTTGATAGGCATTACTAGATCGTAGTTGGACGGTATTTGAACAAAATTTTATCTTCTTTTTCTTCTTTAATATTGTCCCATGCTGCTGTCTAATCAACCTTACCAAAGATAATATTACCATAAGCTTTTCGCTTCATTGAGTCTTGCCCTCTTCGTTATCACCATGGGACAATAGACCATTGCTGCTTTCCACTGATCTGAGTTCTGAAGGACGCCTTACATCCTTCGAGGATAGAGACAATGGTTTAATGAGTGTCAAAGAATCTTCCCCATCGAAGTCTTCACTGGCATCCTCGGAAGAGTATGCATATCTGCCAAACAAAATCAACGAGACTTGAATAAGCAACCAAAATGTACGTCACTATCACTTAGTATATTTGATGAGGTCATCCCAAAACGAATTCAAAACCAAACAAGCAAACCTCATTCAATATGTATAAATTATGAGATGCCGATACAATATGTAAAAACATAAATGTTGACAATTGAAGACAGCATCTTGCGATCTAAATGTTCAATTATCCCAACTGTTTATGCGTCAGTAGCAGGCCCTGCTGCCTGATTGACGCACTGATCACAGGAGTGTAAACATACTTCTTATTATAAAAGTGAAAGCCAGATAATTACCGCATTGAGTTCTGAGATGGCGCCCAAAGAGCACAGATAACACACAAGAGAGAGAAAGACAAGACTTGCCAGAAGGCAGGGATGATCCATGCATTCTGCCATCGCTCATTGTACACATCATTTGACTTGAAATAAAGCTACAAAAAACAAGTCATACAGTATATTACAACGTGGGTATGCCATGAAGTACAAAATATAAGATAGAACAGATGATAAAGCACTCTTATTCTCTGGATTACCAGCATTACCTCATAGCAAATCCACCCAACAGACACGATAACAGTAACAGCTAAGGCATTTGTAAACTTTCTGTAGATATCTAGTTTCGCTGCCATCCTCCTAGCCTATCAAATGTACAAAAGTTTCAGTTCTGTCAATGTTAATTTATAGTACTACTTGGAACACAGATGTTAGAAACATAGTAAGTCCAATTTGTGATGGGGGCAGGTAAGGGGGGAAGAGAGTGAGAAGTTGAAAATAAGAAATGGATTGCCCAGCCCATTAATCTAGTATTAACGTACAGAACAAGCTGAATTTTCTTTTCCGGGAAAGATTACGCAATCAAGGTGTCGTACAAATTATTTATATTATACTTGTAACAAGTCCACCAGATCTCCCTATTGATGAGAATCCAAGGGTATAAATGAACCTGATATGGGATACCAGCGCTATTTCTACTGATATACTTGGTAAAAACTCGAAAAATTCTAATTTTGAAATTTCAGTAGACATACATTATGGCATTTAGTGAGTTAAATGCCAACCTATACACCTTTATCAAGTAGAATTACTTTTCCATGACCTCGTCAGGAACCTAATCTTTGTGGCTTCAGTGCAAACACTAGACGACTTCTTAAAGAGCTTCGGCATTTTAAGGACTCCTATCAAAGTTAGATCTTTTATAATCTTCTTTGAGGGACGCAACAATGACTTAATAACAGAATATTCTTCGATAAAATGCAAATGTAAAAATATGAATTTGCGACACCAATAAGTTTCAGCTTGGTCACTACTGTTCTATGAAAACAACAAACGAAAACACCAAGATCAATTGAGAATCAATTACCTGAAGCTTAGTCAAAGTTAAGGATAGGGATTTAAATATCCATAGAATGAAGAAAGCATCCAAAATTGCCACAGGAAGACCAAAGAAAAGTATAGCCCTTCCCGAGAGATCACTTGTAGCACCAACATTTTCGACCAGTTCAAGCACTTCAGATGCAACAAAGAAGGTTGTTCCAAGCAGTATAACCCTTGATGTAAGGCCACCTAAAGTAGGTCTGACAACACCATAACCCATTGTAACAATCAGGATGATCAATCTTGAAATAGTACGTTTCACAGTTCCAGAGGAGACTGCCCACACAGTGATCCCAGTTGGCCTGACCCCGGTTTCATTGAACTTGGCATAATCAAAGTACCACAAGGCCATCTCAAACATTCCCAATGTTATTACAAGTGTAATAATGTTTTGCAATGGAAGAACTTCTTTCCAGAATCTTGCATACTGTGAAAACCAGAAGATCCCAAGCACTACAAATGCAAGAGACATGAACCCATAAAAGTTCATAAGTGGTGCCATTCTACCGGGTAGGTAACCAGTAGGATTCTTCCAGATGGTTTTCCCCTCAAGAACAACATCTTTAAGATTTGGATCACAATGAATAAAATACAAATTGTACATTCCAGTTTTTGTGATTTGTATCGATCTTGGCTGCAGAATAGTCTCTGCCTTATCAACATCAAATGATGTATCATATACTTGAGGCCATCCAGGACTATTAGTAGATGGGCGGTAAATGATTTGGCCTTGCTTACAGACTCCAAGTTTGGCAAGATCTGCTGTGCAGCATACAGCTCTTTGACCCCCATAGGCTGATCCCCCAATTGTTTCTCTATCAACCACCTCAAATAATATTGCATGAATTGCCCCTGAGCTGAAGTTTGAAAGCTCTTGAGGCCTCCTAAATATGATCTTCTCAAAACTGGTTTTGAACAAAAATAAAGGTCAATTGTCACTTTGGAGTTTAAAACATCAACTCAAATAATAACTATCTTTCAAGAAACATAAATAAGGCAAAGCAGATTATCCAAATGGAAACCAAAATATACATAGCATGAATAAACTAATGTTAAAGGAGACCACTTGCTCTCAGCTCGCAAATTTAAACTTGTTGATCTTGCAACAAAAGTCAATTGTTTATTATTCCGATTTTTTAATTGAAATGCACCACTAGAAAATTCACAAAGAAATGTTCATTCTTAAGGGCTAATCAGAAATCAGAATGTTGGCTATTATCAAAATATTCTTGAAAAAAAATCTTTTAATTTGATAAGTTACCTTTCCCATAACCTTATTGAAAAAAAAAGAACGGGAAAATGGTTTCCTTTTAATTTCAATGCTCTTCACGCATCTTACATGTTTTCTATCCACTTAATCACCATAAAAATGGAAAATCAGTAGTACAAATTGAAATACACTTTTTGAGCTAACTGCAACAATATTAGGACAACCCCAGCCGCAGAATTTTCGAACCTGCATATCTCTATTGAAATTTAATGTGGATTTAGTAGGATTCAATTAAGAAAGCTAAGTAGACTTTCGGTGCTCATCCATTTAAGTAGAAACACTTTAATTTGCAAGCTCAATTAAATATCCTCAAGATTGCATTATCTAATCCACCGCCAAAAACTTCTCTTCACTAAGCCCCTGTTTGGTGGAGACTAAAATCAAATTTTTAGTAGATTTTGATAAAAACTTCATGTAAAATGTGGTTGAAAAGTTGTGTATTTGATACAACATGCAAATAAAACTAATTATTGATTTTGACTTAGATTTACCAAGTTTCCAAGTTTAAAATTATTATAAACATAAACTCCAACCAGATCTCGACACTGTACATCGTGCAATAACTAAGAAGATTCAGAATAAGCTACTTAGATTCGATAATCATAAAATTTCAGGCAAATTCAGTACTAAAAAAAACACTAAACAAATTCGGTACTAAAAAAATCACAATTCACCGTATGAAAGAGTCTCCGGAGGAAGACTCGTTGAGGCTCGGTGTAGAAGAGTAAATTCCCTCGCTTCCGCCGTGAACCACGAAGGCATTGCCCTTGCTCACGAACTGCTCGCCGAAGTATTCATGTATTGAAGCGTCAATGCGCACGCATAGTAGCGTAATAGCTAAGGAGAAAAATGTAACTCGATAATCCAACCTCACCATTGTTGTCGTGTGAGTCACTTCAACTCAGCGAGTCTAGATCTGCACTGCAGTACAACAAATGGAGAGGGAGGGACTGAGGGAGGGAGCGGCAACGACAAGACTAGTGAGTGCGGTCAAGTATTTAACTATGGTTAGTTATTGACTCATCAAAGAACAGGCTGGAAATGATACACTGTGACGCACGTTACGTTATGCTAAACATGCACCCAATTGAAATCCAATTTGGATTAGGGCGCAATTAGGATTGACAGTCATTGGGGGGTTCTTTTAAAATTGTCCAGGTAGAAGGGAGGAAATTCAATTTTGACTTTTTCACTTTTGAATATTATACAATCAACCATGCTACAAGTACAATTTTTTTGACAACAAGTTTGACAATGTGCCACATATTGAAGGTTAATTGGCCAGTTTTTAAACACCACACACTTTCCCGCCCATTCGAATTTGAATTAACATTGATTGTCAAATACATTGTCAACTAAACATTGTACACAAAGCATTATTCTTATACAATTGGCTTAAGGTGTTCAAAAGATAAAAATACCCTTAAATGAATAAAATAATTACAAAATATGATTTTATTAAAAAGACAATACTACATTTTTACTTAACAAATAAAAACCAAACACCCCTACATAAAATTAGAAATTCAGTTCAAACACAGATAAAAACTCTCATCTTCTTCACTTTGAAAATCTCAAAAATATTGATAGTAGAAGGAAAAAATTATTTTCTGTCAATTACTACGAATCGATAAATATATCTCCGTATGTTTAATTTCGTTATACTGAAATGTGTATGTTTTTTACTCGATAAATTAATATTTGACATAGACAACAAGCAGAAGAAATTTTTTAGTATATTTATATAATACTTTTAAGTGAATGGGAAAAAAATTTCATCTGCTTAATTTTCTAGCTTAACGTTAAGAAAATAACGGGCGAAATAGTCTGTTAAAGACGAATTCGCCTGTTAACCACTTTTTTTTTTTAAAGTTTCTGTTCCCAATTTAATCCGAATTTTCGAATGTTCGTTTACAAATTCTGTTTTGTCATGCACAGATATGAGACTTATACTCCTGATTTGTTATTTTGATGATTTTGAATTGGATGAAAATGATTGATGGTTATAGAAATGGACGGATAACATAAAAGGTAGCAGACCAACACATATAACAGTATCTACATTGTACGAGAAACTGTACTAGGATATACAGAACAAGCTGAACGTCGATTCATCTCAATATGGTACTGAGATATCAATACGGTGAGAATTTGCCATATTCAATTCCCCCTTTAAATGTTACATCTGATATTGACATGAATTATCTGTATGACTTGAACAAAGTGCAACGGTCACTGATTTTCATGACTTTAGTGAGGAAGGAAGACGAGGAATGTAGACATGAACATTCGGATGAACATGATAGTAATACAAATGATTTTTGGGATACAGTGGAGATAGCTCGCGATGATGACGCTGATATTCCCGAGACAATTGTTGTTCACCGTGATACTGCTGCGACGTACATACTTCAATCGGCAGTTCAGGACATCGATGTAAATAAATTTACAAATGAGGATTTATGGCTTTATCCTTTCAGAGACATGAGTGTGGTCAGAGCATAGGGGCCAGAACGAGCGAATCTTCATCTAATTCTTTACATGTGGTTTCGAATGATGAAAATCTGTATGTTGAGCAACTTTTTGAAACAAAAAAAAATCTGTAGGAAGCTGTGCACTTGTTGGCATTAAAATACAACTTTGAGTTCAAGGTAATGAAATCAAACAAATCCTTGTTAACACTTGTTTGCTTCGGCGACAGTTGTCGTTGGCAGTTGCTTGCACATAAGATGGACACGAATGAGAGTTTTGTAGTTCGTAAGTATACACGGGAACATACTGGCGAGTTGGGGATTCGTCAAAACAATCATAGGCAAGCTCGATCATGGTTTATTGGTTGACAGATAATGCATAAGTATCAGGATCCATGGACGATCTATAGACCTTCAGATATCATTAACGACGTCCGATGAGAGTACGGAGTGGTCATGAGCTACCAGAAGGCTTGGAGGGCCAAAGAATGCGCGTTGGAGAATTTAATGGGCTCGGCCGAGGAGAGTTATGCTAAATTGGTCAGATATGAGGACAACAAATAACGATTCTACTTATTCCATTGAGACGGAGGGCGAGAATTGCTTTAAGTATTTATTCATGGCTCTTAGACAATGCATTAGAGGATTTAAAAATGCGATGCGAGCCGTAATTTTAGTCGACAGGACAACTCTAAAATCGAGATACGGGGGTAAGCTGATTATCGATACATGCTAAGATCCCAACATCCAGATTTACCCACTTGTATTCGACGTAGTCGACAGCGAGAATGATTTGTCAATGCGTTGGTTCTTTACGAAACTTAGGGAAGTGATCGGAGAAGTCGAAGATCTTGCCTTTGTAACTGATCGGGGCCAGTCTCTAATAAATGCTATCGCTGAAGTTTTCCCCGAGGCACATCATGGGTACTGCATGTACCATATACAGGGTAATCTCAAAATTAGATATCGGGGCCAAGGCATTGTTTCATTGTTTAGGAGGGCGGCCGAAGCTTACAGTGTCGAGGAATGTAATAAGTTTATGGTCGAGATAAATAAGTCATTGTCGGCATGTGATTATCTTACAAAAATGGGGATAGAACATTGGGCGCGATCACATTTTTCAGGACGTCGGTACAACTTGATGACGTCGAACAATGTGGAGTCTCTGAATGCATTGTTCAAGAAGGATCGAGAGTTGCCAATTCTCACGATGATTGAGAACATCTGTACCAAGCTACAGTAGTGGTTTCACGATCGACGTGCAGAATTGCTTAACTGCTCGAGTTGGCTAGCCCCGGCTCAAGAGGATAAATTGTTCAAGGCTACAGAGGTTGTGAGGAAGTTGATTGTTGAACCGCTGGACGAGTCGCGATTCTCTGTACATTGTGCACGTCATGTGGCATACATGGTGGACCTAACGACAACACATGCACTTGTACTCGATTTCAGCTGGAGAGTTTTCCATGCGAGCATGCAGTCGCGGTAGCTCTGAACAGAGGCTTTGCAGCAAGAACATTGTGTTACACGGCTTAATATTGGATAGTTGCGTATGTTGAGACTATATTTCCCTTACCGAACGAATCTGAGTGGGAAGTTTCTGACCTTATTCTCCTGCTTGATAGTTTGTCGCCATCGGTAGTTGAACCGCGTGTCCCGGGCGTCCACAAACTTTTAGAATACCCTCTACTGGAGAGTTTTCTCTACCGCGTCGTTACGGCAGATGTAAAGTAGTAGGCCACACTCGCCAAATTTGTACGAGTCAGATTCCCCTGCATGACAATTAATATAGTATGTAATGGTATTGTTGGTATTTATGAACAATATTCGGATAATCATTTTATATTAACTTTATTTTCTAATTTGATAAATTATATTTAATTATATAAATTATATAAATCATACATAAATAAATGAACAACAAAATTAAATTTACAATATTACAAAATTCAATGTAAAATTTTTACAATATTTACAAGTATTAAATAAATGAATCAACAATTAAATGTACAATGTTTACGGGTCACACTCGAATTCGTACAAATCGGCCGCTAATTTATTCCTCCAAATTTGTATCCATGCCTGGTTGATTCTGTCAATCTTATGTCCTATACTCAAAATTTTGATATACTTTATTCGAATAATAAACCTGTTAGTTAAAAAACGTGTTAGATAAAAACTTAATTTCCAAATTAAAAATAAAATATAAATACTTATGATCGAGACTATCTCCACATCGTCTGATCCTGCACGATGGCTAGTTTGTTATTAACAATAACACCCGCTCAAGCAGCCATCAACGGAACGATTACTGCAATCGGCTCCAAATGCTGCTCGAGCTGGCCCTGTGTCAGACATAAATGGTCAGAGTCGTACACATACATTGTGGAGTCAGCAAAAACAATCTCCACGGCAATGGTATGATGATTCACGATCGCTGGAACATATATATGTGTACAAGCCTCCCATGCCTTTCCCCTGAGCGTTGACAATATCCCTATTACCCATTCGGCCATATATTCAGGCAGCACGTACTCACTACCCATACATTGCAGCGACTAATGCTCAATGGTAACAGTACCAAAAAACTTAGTGATTAGTATGAGTCGGCTGGGCATGTCGAATGATAGCGGATATCGTCGAGCTCGATTTCGCAATAATTCCATGGCCAGATCAATGTGCTGTATCAGGAAACACCAATAAAAAATATAGGGGATTATTTCATTTTATAAAACAAAAAAAGTAATGTATACATAATAAATAACAATATGACTATTTCACTTACATTGTCGCGAGCCACGTCCCCGAAGTGGTGATGTCGTGAAACCATGTATAAGCATCTAAGATCGTCATATCCCCAACGATGCGGCTATGTCTGAAAAAAATAAGACAAATGTTGAAAAAGATATAGATGAGTTAGCGTAGCATTCTTTATTGAAATTTTAAAATACTTACCTCGGCTTAATTATCCTTCACTCCGTCTCGAACGCTTTGCATTTAGCCGCGTCCACCTCCTGAAACAGATTGGGGTACGTCCCGTCGACGAACGTCCTCCTCTTTGCCTCAGCTGTGAAGGGAGAAACGACGTAGTGTGAAGGCAACCCGACCCTCTTGCCGACCATGTCAAGGATTCTAGTAAATCAGTTATTGATTTACAGAATCCTCCTTAATTGTGGAAGACACAATTTAGGAGATACAATTTTCATTTTGTGATACGGTTTCCTTCTGTAAATATCTTCCCCATTTTATCTCTATATTCAAACTCTATATAAATAACAGACTCCACTCCATAGAAGTGTGGTGGTTTTACCAACATTATTATGGTATCAAAACTTCAAGTCTCGTCGTTCTAGCGGCAGCTACAATGGAGGCCATGGCCATGGGCATGGCAAACGGGGCTCCTATTCCC